ATCATCCTTTATACCTTTGAAAAGCCTGCTTATCTACCTTGCTAGTATTTCCAAAGTGCTGATGTTTACTGTGCTGAAGTGGTTTGAGATACGGATCAGGGAGCACCGGTCCTGTTAGAAGATCCTGTTAGGAGGTCTTGATTCCTAAAAAGCTGCCAGAATCTCCAACCCTCTATAGTCATGAGTGCTTACATGTGAGGTTAGAGGTGGCGTTAGCTCCTAGTGATGGTTTCACTGAGGCTGGTGGCCAGCACTGCTCTTCAGTGAAGATGCAGGTGGGATTAGGCAGATGGAGGTGTCAGAAGAATAGTGAAGAAATGGATTGAGGAGCTTAGGGAAGGTATAGAGAAGTTGCAGCTCAAGGATTTCTTAGGAAACCTTCCTGTGTTATCAGAAAGCCTCTGGAATGGCTTTTTCTCTGCAAGGGAGGAACCAGGGCATCCTGGACGCTTGACTCCTTGGGCAAGCTTTAAAAATCCATTTTGGTTTTGTTCTCTTTCAGGATCAGCAAGAAAATAGGAGACCATGCTGAGTATTTCTTGAAGCTTTTCCCGGCACTTACCATTTATGTCTATAACAGTTTACGCCAGAATCCTGAATACAGTCACTTTGCAGGCATTCAGGACCCTTCTCTGTAGGATGTCATTGCCTCATATCCCATGCCTGAACTCACCATCACTGCCTCCTTTTATTCCCTATTTCTTCATCTGCAAAAGAGTTGAAGAAAGTGGGTAGGGAGATGGGAGAGAGCACGTGCAAGGACAGAGACTTAGACTAAGAAATGAAAGATGCTTCAGAAGTGTTTGGTGTAAAAACCACGGGCTTTGAAGAGGAACCACGTTGAGTGCCAGTCCAGGTCCCCCTTGACTACCTCTGTCCCTCTGGGTTTAGCTGTCTCTGTGAGGTAGAGATCAAGGCCCTGTTCCTTATGGAGAGCAGGGAGATGTGGGACAGCCCCCATATACCCAATGCATCTGGCAAGCAGGAGAAGAGCTCAGCCATTGCCAGACAACGTGGGACCCTCTGATAAAGGAAAAGGAGCTCAAGCTCCCTGCTAGGGCCAATATTCCCTACAGCTTGCACTGATGAGCTGCTCATCTACCCCTAGAAAGACAGGGATTCTCTTTTCAGTCTTTTTGAAACACAGCAGCCAGAAAATGAGATGCCTAGGCAATGGTCTGGCTGCAGAGTTGCCCTTGGCCCGTTATCACTCTGATCTGGTAGAGGCACACTCCGGCCAGCCTGCTGGGACCTGAAGGACGACTTCTGGGGGATGCAGATATTCCCATGAGGAATGGCCATAAGGAGCACGATCCCACAAAACTCTGCTACTGTGAGTAGTCCTGACTCACCGGAAAAAGGTTGCTGATGTCAAAGAGACTGCAGGGACCCGTTCCCAACCTTGCAGGCTGGGTCTGCAAGGCAGGGCTACGCACAAGCACTCTGTCTCCAAAACAGGGCTGCTGGTGCTGTATCACTGTCCTCCTGCCAGACTCTGCTCCCTTGCACAGAGCTGGTGCCCATACAGCTGTAGCATGCAGCCAGCTCGGAGCTTTGATGTTGGAGGCTGGGTGGCACAAATCCATTCCTGAAATGCTACGGCATGCAATGTGTGTCTGATTGTCCAAGGGCTTACTTGTTTCTCGGCTAACGCTCTGATTTGCACAATGATTATACATTGCTTGCAAACTGAGATTCAAACTGAGATTGTTATTCTTTTAATTAGCCTATGGAGAACCAAACTTGGAATAAACTTGCCTGGAAAACTGACTCTTACTACGCTCATTTATGAATGAGGTCCCCCATCCCCTCTGCACAGAAAGAGAGTCTGCAGCACTGTAAAATACCCAAAAGGCTGGGGTTTTTAGCCTCCTGTGGAAGTGCTTCTTGGTTGTTTAGGTGAGGTAGTGGATGGTTTTGTCACTGCTCAGATGAATTGCTTCTGGCCCATACAGGTATCTGATGGGAAAAGATGTTGGGAAGTACTGAAGGCTTCCTATCCTCGGAAGCAAGCTGTCTCTTGTGAAATAATGGGCTGAATGGTCAGGTTTTTTGCATTTTTTTTTTATGGAGTGGAGGTGAGGATTTTGTGGATGAGTTGAGGTGTGAAGATGAGCATCAATGCTTGCACATGAGTGTTTGCATACACATAAAACTCTGGGGGTGGATGTGTTTGACCCATCTCCTCTACCAATGAATGGCTTCCCAGAATGCATCATTGAGCCCTGTGCATCTCTCTAGCTGTGTGTGCTTATAGATGTATGTACCTGCAAACCAGCAGGCATTGCTGTGCATGAGTTGGGTTGTAGACTGCCACGCCTGTGCTTGTGGCTCATGAGGTCCACGTGCCAGCCTGCATCAGTGGTCCTGGCTCAGAGCAGAGGTCCTTCTCATGGTCTTGGGAACCTTTTAAAATACATAAATTTAACAACAAGAAAGCTTGACTATGCAACTGTTGATGAGGTACTGTTAGAGAAAATGCAACCAGGAGAATGCTGACTCCTCTTTTGTCAATACTTTCATTTTTTTCTTTCCTCCCTGCTGGTTTTTTTCTGTTGTTCGCTGTCTTTCTTGTGCCCAGAAAGCAGGAGGACACCCAGAGATGGCATGTCTGAGTCTCAGCAGCGTGGGGAGCAGGGGTGCTGTGGGGAGCACAGTGGCTCTGTGCTGCTGCAGCACGTTTCTGCTCTTGCATGATGAGAGGTGAGGCTGTGGGGTGGGCTCCTTCAGCCTCTTGTAAAAACGTCATGTTTCCAGCTTGCTTCAACCTTTGCATCTTCTTGCATCGCTCTGTTGTTTTGCTAAAGCGCTGTGACCTGGCAGCCTTAAAAGGCTGTGGAAAGGCCTTCCTGAAAGCAGAGAGCACTCCAGGATGTCCAAACCAGAGCAATGATTAAACCTGTGGAGGCTGTGACTTGTCTCTTGGGCAATCAGGCTGCTGGGAAGAATTTCCAGGGAAGGCTTGTGTGGTCTGCAGGGCTGTGTCCTGCTTTCCGAGAAGCCAGAAGTTCCAGCAGGCTGGTGTCAGAGGAGAAACTTGATCCATGCATGGTATCTGCAAAGCTTATTGCTCACGAAGCATCAGGCCACTGGAAGAGGCGGGGATGCAGTACTGGGACCAATGCTGGGGAAAACACCAGGCTGCCTCTCCTCCGCACAGGGTTGGGGAGGATGGGCAAGTGCCCAGCAAGAGGCTGGGCAGGATGGAAATCCAGTGGCAAGGACAGCTGGACTGGTAACTGAGTGGTATGGCAGGGCCTGATGTTGCAGCCTGGGGACAAATGTGTCCTGGGGAGCAGAGCCAGCTGCCAGAATTAGTTCTACTTGATGTGCTGATGGCTCCCAGCATCAGTGCCCATCTGGGAGGTGCTGCCTGCCTTTGCCTTGTACAGGCAGGCTTGCAGACCATGCATGGTGCCCAAGGGCATGCTGATTTGGCCCTACACGCTGCGTTCCCCTGCTGTCACGCCTGTATGTTGTGCATTTGCTGTGCCTCTGCCTTTTTCCCCTGCTACTGCTGGGTGATCCCAGGGGCAGCGGCTCAACCTGATGGATGGGATCAGGTGCTCCCCATCCTGTCACTTGTGTGCTGAGGACATGCTTGTGTGCACAGGGATGGCCCCAGGTCAATGTGTCTCATCTGCTGCACTGGGGGAAAAAAAAAAGTCTGCAGAAGCAGTGGAGTGAAGATCGGTCTTAGCTGCAGTTTTGTTGTGATGAGCTTCAGGCACATCTGTGAAGCCTTCTAGGGACCAGGCTCAGCTGGGCTCAGGCTGCAGAACCTGAAGCATTAGTGCAAAGCACACAAAAATGCAGCTAGCTTTTGGGCTGAAAGCTTTTGGGGCAAAATCAAGTTACAGCACAAGGGCAATTTTGAGAAGCTGGTCACAGTCCAGGTTGGAGTGTCATCAGCTTCCTACCAAGTGCCTCATTTATAGAAACGTTGTTGGACTTCGGGTTTGTTTGGTTTTTTGATCCTCCAGAAGCAAAGCATTGATAATCCTAACTGACAAATATGAAACATGTCGTCATCTGCCTTAAATGCCCCTGTGTTATTCCCAAGATTCAGCCTTCTAGGATTTGAGGGTTAAAAAGTAGCTAAAAACAGCTCAAAAGTTACAAAGCTGAGAGCTTGCAAGGGAGCTGTCAGAGGCAAGGTGTGATAAAGGCCATGGTCTTTTCTTCATGAGGTCCAAAGAACATTTGGGATTTTTGCAGCTTCCCGGTGACTCGGCAAAGCCACTCTGACCCAGTTTCACCTGGGGAAAATGAAGGTCTTTGATATGATTTGGTTATGCTTTGTAAACATAACTGGCTTTAAAAAAAACCATGCCGAGGCCCCAAGTCAGGCATGAGCTGATTTTGACTGGAAAAATCAGAAGGGCTCTGGCAAGACAGGCACTGTCTCACCAGCCAGGGACAGCTGAGTAGTAAACCAGGTGGGCTCCCTTAGCCTTGCCACCCACAGGAGGTATTTAATTTGTGTGGAAAGCATGGAGGGGTGAGGAGCTGAGGCAAGGCTGTAAGGCACGATGAGTAGAGGAAAGCAATCCCGGTCCTCAGTGAGAAGCACGGCTCCCTGCACAGCGGGGCTCTGGGGACCAGTGGTCTTTGAGGACCCCCATCCTCAGGCAGAGTATTTACTGTGACTGCTTTCTGGCTTTAAGCACCTTCCAAATGTCTTGTAAAAAGACCTCAAAGGTGGTGTTGTGCTGTGCACCCAGTGTTATTCATTTGCACTGTTACTGGGTCCCAGCTATGGGCAATACAGTGTTCTACAGATACACGACTGTCGTGTGGACAAGGGTTTCTCCTTGGCTGGGAATGGGTCCTGGCACATCCCTGCCATGGTCACAGAGGTGCAAGCTGCTGTGCTGTGTTACCAGGCAGGCTGGAGGATGCTGTGAGCTGCTTTATTTTTAGGTCTTATTGCTGATTAAGTGCAAACTATGCAGTGTGTCCAGGCTGCTCAGCTTTCTTGGAGCACACCCCTGTCCTGCTCAGTGTGGACGGTAGGTTGGGAGGTCTGTCCTTCCCTTGGTGCCTGCAGGGAAGGGAGAGATGTTGCATCAGTGGCCACTGCTGATGGAGGCAGGGCATGGGTGATCAGGGATGAACAGCACTGCTGTGTGCTCCCGGCGGGTGTTCAGGGCATGGAGAGGTGCGGCAACTGGGGATTTTCTGTGAATGTTACTGGAGATTGTGGGGGTGACCAAGGTCCTGCACAGACCCACCCAGTTGGCCTTTGGGTTTTAAGGGGAGTCATAGCTCTGCTGCTCCATGTGCTTGTGCTGGTGTAGTTTGGGGGAGGTAGACTGCCTCTGCAACCACCTACCTGCTCTGTAGGACAGGAGGCAGACTTGCTGAATGAGACCCTTTTCTCAAGACTTTTATCTGAATCTGAGAAAAACAACATGTACAAACTTCCTATCGTGGACCGATGCAGGGAGCCCTAAAGCCCAGCTACCACCCCAGATCCGGAGCTCCCCTTGAGAGCAGGAGCATGCCTTTCAGCCCTGGCTCACCTTTTTGCTCCTCCAATGGCTCCATTTTCTTCTGGGGATGCGGCAGCAGGATCTGGACCCCTTTCAGCAGCGTGAAGACAATGATGGTGTGATTGCCTGGTGAGGGAGAAGAGAGGAAGCGGTACTGTGTGGCAAGTGCTCCGATGGCAAATGAGGGAGGACAGCAGGATGTGCTGTCCCCTTTGAATCCCATGGAGCTTGTACGGAGGTCAAGGAAGGGTGACTGAGCAAGGACATGAGTTACCCAGGTCTCCTTGACTGTGAAGCTGTTTGGGGGCTGCAGGGCAGGGGTGACATGTCCCACCCTGGCTTTGCTGCAGGGTCGGGGGGTCCTGGGTGGCAGATGGGAGGCTTGCGAGGAAATGGCATTTGGAGAGACGGGGGGACGTGTGCGCACAGCTGCCCCCACGCACAGATGTGCGGTCAGCTTTGTGTCCGCAGGGGTGGTGTCTCCCAAGGGGAGCTCCATGCTAATGCCCATGAAGTGGGGTGGAGGCAGTATGTCCAGTCTCAGCAGGACCGGCCCCTCTGCTCTGTGTAAAGGCACAGACAGTGCCACAGTGACGCCTGGTGATAGGAGATGGATTCGTGTCTGGCACCTTCCCAGCCATGCACACACCACATCTGCGCAAAGCAGCAACCCTCAAAATAAGACAAAAGCAAGACGTGGGCGATAGCAGGTTTTCTCTGGAATTACAGGTATTTTCCCTAGCAATTTTAGTGCCTTTTAAAGACAACATAACCAATTTTTCTCAGCTGAAAAGCCAGCTTTTTATCTAAAGGTCAGAAAAGCAAGGTCCTTAGATAAAGGTCATCGGTGAAAGTGTGATAAGGTGCAGAAAATTGTCCCAAGCAAAAGGTGGCATGGGCACAGTCAGAAATAGCAGCTATTTTTGGGTTGCATGCTGATTTGGTTTGCTCCTCTCTGACAGTCAGGGTGCTGCAGTCAGGGCTGCCTGCGAGCTGGCAGGCAATGCAGCGCAGGAGCCAGCCTGTGCTGCACCCTGCGGGTACAGCTCTGCCCTACCAAGACGTGATGGCACCTGCCCTTTCCTACTTAACCAGGCTGAACGTGCCAGCCACACGGGCAGGAGAAATGAGACAGGTCTGAGAGATCACACATCTCTTCCCATGACACACTGCTGGAGGTGAGGGATTTTATCTGCCTGGCTCTGGTTATTCGTCCCTGTGAGGTGTTACAAGGAACTGTGGCTTGAGGACAAGAGGTGTCCCAGGGACATTCACTGCAGGATTAATGCCAATGTGAGAAAGACTGCAATCTTTTCTACACGATCCCCAGCTGTCTCTCTAGAGCAATATCTCAGTGCACTCGCTCTCTGAGGCTCTGTGTAGTTAAATACAGGCTGCGCTGCGTAGGCAACAGTGGGACTGTCCTAACCCTTGCAACAGTTTGCACTGATTGAACCTTTCTCTCTCCCCACCATTTTCCTGAATACCTTGGCAAACACGTGTCTTTGTCCCAGATAACACAGCAGGTAACTTCTGTCTAACACGACCCTTCTGGCTTGTCGCTAGCTAGGAATACACGTGTGATGGATTAGGTTTTGTATGTTTTTTTTCTGGTGGCAACAGGCTTTTGCATTAAAACAGCTATGTTTGAGAAGGCCCTAGAAATGCGGTGAGGCTCTGCAACAAGGTGGAGACTCAAGCTGAACATTGGATGTTACCCAGGGGAACACCCAAAGTGTGGGGTGGTTTGAGCTAATACACGTGGCTTGGCAGTCTTGGAGCAGACCAGCACGGGGATCTGTTACCCCAGCTCGGCTGCGGAGCTGTAGCTCAAGCACCTGCCTGTAGGTATCAAAATCTTTTAACTCTGCTGATTTTTAACCAGAACTTGACAGTGATAAATGACAGGGAGCAGAACATCGGCTTGTTGACACCCACTCGACCGTCAAAGCAAGATTAGTACATGCCTATTTTGGTTTCCCCTTTAATCAAAAATCAATTAGACAATTACCAAATGAATATTCAGCCAGGGAGCCAGGTTGTCAGGCAGATTGACAGCACTTAGCACCACTTTCTTTGTGTTTTGCAGTTTAGAGTTATTGTGTGTATTGAAACTAAACAAGTGGATGGGGGGGGGGGAAATCTTTGTCTTTCCCCTGAGATGTCCTAGTAAGTGTCACCTCAAATCCTGATGAAACTTTTTCTGCATTCCAGATGTCCAAAGCATCCTGCATGTAATGCCACTGAGGCTGGTGTTTGGCTGCGTGGTTGTTCTCCTTTTCCTGCTCCCATCTGACTTGCAACCCAAAAGATTAGTTGCTTTATTTCTGTTTTAGGGTGTGTTTGGAGTATTTTTAACTTGTTTTTTGAAGTAAACAAGTTATGCAACAGCTCTTTGTTCATGAAGTCTCTGCACCCACTTCCCTATTGCCCAAAGAAATGTCTAAAAACCCACTGGGCAATTTTAACTGAATTTGAGGGGAAGGAATGGTTTCTAAGATGCCTCATTTTCTAATAGGCCTGCACCATGTATGTCCTCAAAGCTGTGTAAAGCGGCTGTGTGAAGGGAGGAGTTTGGTTCTCTTAAGGAGAACCCCGTGGGACATCTCTGCACTGGAAGAACAAGCCTGAGGACAAATGTGGAGTAGGGGGACAGGCACTCAGCTTACTTGGACTGTAGGCATCAGATGATTCAGAGGAGGTTTTTGTACTGGGCGAAGAGATTGGCACCCTGTCCTTTGCAGAGACCTGAAAGCTCCTCATCACCTTCCAGGTGCAGAACCTGTATGAGAAATACTGAAGACAGAAAACCTCCAAGCAGACATCTACAGCTGAGCTCCTGGGGAGTGTCTCATCTGCATTTCCATCATGTCAGAGGAACAGGTGGCTGGAGAAAGAGGCTGGCATCCACAGAGCCTCTGCCACCTTGGGAGAGAGGAGTTAGGTACCTTCTCCAGAAGTGCATCAGGATTGGGAAGATGGTGACCTTGGCCCTGTGGTAGAGGACACGGTTCAGTAGCCCCTTGGAAGATAAACTCCAGATTAAATCTCTCTCTTCTTCAGAGATGTTTACCTGGCCACAGAAGAGAGCTTGGTTAACCAAAGCAGTTTGTGGCACTCCTGGTGGGCCCTAGAGGCATGTTTCTCTCCCTGACCCACCTTGCATTTCAGCAGTCTCTAAGAAGAGATGCTAGTTACGTCCTAGCTGACTGTCCCAGGTTCAAGGGTGGGATCTCCCCTGGATTTCTGTGGAAAGCACTGTGCTGTGCTTTCCAAAGGGAAGATAGGCAGAGCCATGGCTACTATAGGGGAAGAGGTGGATGCAGTGGGGAGAGATGATGGTGACATTGACCTCTGGAGACTAAAAGACCTGAACTGGTGGAGTGCAGCACTCATCCTGGTGCTTCAGCCCTGGCATTTCTCTAGCAGGTAGAGGATTTCACCATGTCCTTGTCCACACACTTGTTCTCAATCCATATGGGTCAAGTGGCAGCGTGGGTCTGGTGGTGGATCAGTTCCCATCCCATGGAGCCCAAATGGAGGTCCCAAGCTCCAGAGCATGCTCTGAAGCTTCACAGCATGCTTGGCTGGAGCAGATCCAAACTTCTGCCCGGTTCCCCTTTCCCCACAACTCACAAGCTCACAGCTGCAATGCAATGGTCTTGAGCAATGAGCAGACAGCAGCCTTCAGCCTTCCTGGGCGGGTCCCAGCATCTTACCCTCAATTTGGGGGGAATATCGGAGTTCAAGAAGAGTTTGCTGATGATGGCAACTTTCCTTTTGAGAAAGGCAACTTCCTTTTCTGGCTGCATGGTGTGGGCTGCCAGAGCTTCAACTGAATCAGCCAGCCTGGAAAACCTGCAAAGGCATGTGGGGTCTTGCACTGAGACAAGTGCTCTGCTAGGCTAGACAGTCATGGTCCATCTTAGCTCTGTATTTACTGGGTCAGAAAAAGCAACCCACGAGGTGTGGAACAGTGAAACAGGTGGGATGAAAAGCCACTTTCCTCTTCTATTGCCCTTGTGGTCATGGCATTCACCTGGAGAATGTGATGTTTGCCCTTCTTCAGGAAAAGAGGGGAACTGAAACCTGGTCTTGCGCATGTGGAGGTGTGTTGACTGTGGGGCTGTTGTGCATCAGCCATGGCTTGCTCTTACGGGTTTGTCAGGGGACTGGACAAGATCAATGGAGAAATGCCACAATGGCATGTCAAGAAAGGTGTAGGAAAAATGCTAGATTGCTTGGGACTATCAAACCAAAAGTCCTTCTAGGATACCCAAACAGGAACCCTGAGACAGGGGACTTTTTCTGGTTGAAATGGAGGCTTTTGGGGGCTTCAGGGGCAGGTAACCATAAGCAGATTAGATGTAGGCAGCTACAAGGTGAGACTTTGGTTGTGTCTTTTTCTGCAATGTGATGTCCAGCCTTGCATAGACGTGCTGATAGTTTGGGGGTGGCAGCACAGACCTTAGTGTGTGCTAAGAAATCCATGGACCAGGCTTTATCCCCTGCTGAGAGATGGGCACTATCTGCAGGATGGGTTTAGGCCAGAGCCAAGGGAGACTGGTGATACCTGAGCACCTGGTGAAAAGGGAACTTACTTGTTGATCTCCAGATAAAAGCGGAGGTCATCGACGAGGAAGTTGATGGTAATGAGCTGGCTGTTAAACATGCGGCGTTTCACTAGTACCACCTCCTTGTCCGGTGGGGTGCTGGCAGAGGCCATATGGGAGTGGAAATTGCTCACCGTGCTGCTGCTCTGAATCGAGCTGACGGGCAAGTCTGAGAGAGGGAAAGA